TATTGTATGTGATGCTGAAATTGGTAAAAAATCTTTCCTACAATGAGAAAACTTTCCTTTCATATGTTAACCACTAATAATCACTCCTTTTAAAACTGCATTCTGATGCTTGAAGAGCACTGTATTAAATTTTTTAAGACTCCCTCTATTTTTCTATAATATTGTATTTTTATTACACAGGCCCATGCTGTTAGCAGTAGGTGTTGCAAACAAAAACTTCCCCCTAATCCAACAGCTATTTACTATAAAAAATTAAAGATAAATTTAACCTCAAAAATGTAACAAAATCTTTTTTTAAATAAATTGTACCAGAAATAACAAGTGATCTTTATAATGTGTGATACTCTCCTACAGATGTCGATAAAGTAGTTATCAGAATGTTAGTCTCTGTTAATCTGTGCTTTTTATGGGTTTGCAACAAAGCATAATTCACACTGATCAGAATGAATGAAGCTTCATTTTCCAGTGTATCATGAATTTTAGTCATTTAATAAATTTTAGCTTTTATTTATGTATTCCACTGTGGTGCTGTGACAAGAAATCACACCTATGTACCAGAGCATACATCAAGAATATGATGCAACTTTACTACACCACTGCTATATTTAGCTTTTTGAAAGCATAAACTATGGCCACATCAAATAATTTTTTATGTTTGCTTGTTTTCCTTTGATAACCTTCACTTTTTCATTAATACTTCAGTTTTTAAAATTTGAATTATTGAAAAAAAAACACGGAAAGTTTATACAGGAATAGCTATAAGGCATAAACTCACAGGCACTGATATGACAAAAATTTATTTTAAGGGCTGAGAGACATTAATATAATATCAACAAAGTTGACTGAAAAGAATGACTAACTTTGCCCAAATGGGAAATGACTGCTTCTGCTTGTACGTTGAGAAAAGAAATTCAGAAAGCTATTTTTTGGCTTTGCTATGTCACAAAGTTTTAAATGCCCTTCTATTAAAAATAAAAACATCATGCAAAACTTTGATCAATTATGCAGCTGCTTTAAAACTGTTGCAAGACCATACCATATATATTAGCTTTTATACTGCTAATGCATAACTAACAGCAAACTTGATTAGATTAATACAAATATGTCTTAATTACACTATTATATCACACTAAGGAGACAAATGCCACAATATTGGCAAAAACCTTTAATTCTGAGCACTCAAATGGCAGGATACTTATGTGTTGTAACTCCTTCATATTTAGGAAAAAAAACCCCAAACCACAACCCTGCAGTCTCACTTTACAAAAGAAATTTCTGTAAAATATTAATTGGGAGAGGAACAGTTTATACTAACACAAAGTAATTTATACAGCTAGTGTCAAAGGCAAACAGAAAAACTTCTAAATAAAGTTGAAATACACATAAGCAACAGAAGCAAAAATGCTGCATTAAATACAGTCAAGATAAGAAGACAGTACACTTGTTAACAAAAAATGGACAAAACAAAGTTACTTAAGTTAGCAACACATTTAAAGAAAATGCAATGATGAAAAAACCCTCAAACTATTTTTTTCAATGGCAACAGTTTCCATTTGCAGTTTTTCCATCCATAATTTGTCTGATACAATAATTAAAATATTCAGTATCTCTCAGAAGAGCTAGATGGTTCTCTTTGAAATTACCAAGTTGGTTTTGGATGTTTTAAATGGACATTATTATGTTCATTTAAAAGCAAGGAAACAAATGGACTTTTAATCATCTTTGATCTTAGCACTGATGACAAACATTTTTAAAAGTTATTATAATCTTTTTTGTCTTTTTTTCCCTCTGCTTCAAATCCATCAACACCATCACTGTCCCTTCTCCTTTTACGATTATTATGGATGTTGAAGCGTTGATTCATCTGCGGTAATGGATCCATTCCTAAAACTTTGTGTATTTGACGGAATGCAAGGAGTCTCAGTGCCAACTAGAAAGAAGATATTTCTGTTAGAAACAAATGTCAATTTTGAGTACTCTGTCAAACAGTTAATGAATAACATTAGTGGTGCATTATATTATCTTTAGCTCTTATTAACCCCTCTTCCTTCCCCCCAAAAATTCGACACAATAAAATACATATGTCACATTTGCTGCTTCTGTACAAAGTACATCCTCTTAGCCTAAAAATAATATACATGTTTTTTAGCTGCTGGACTTGCACTGAAGCAGCTAAGGCTTGTCACATGTCCCATTACGCATTAGTAATCTTAGCAAAAGGATCAAATGAAGAGATAGGGGCAGTAACCTCTTAAGCTGCAAATGTGAATGGTCAATACTATAAGTGGATACAATAAATATTAAACTTACACAGTTTTATTTAAAATATTAAATGCCAATGTAATTTTAAATCTAATAACATACTCCTGTAGAGTGAGCATCTTTACATCTATACATATATAGATGGGAGTGCTTCAAACTTGTCAGGACAATTTTAGTGCAAAAATTAACACTATTATACATCCTCTGTTGTGACATTTTAATTGCCTAGCTTAAGACTGATCATCTGAAAGACTGCACTATATTCTAAGAAAGGAAAACGTTCACCCTGTAGCTTCATTAAAAAAAAACAAACCAAACAAAACCACAAAAAAACCACCCACCCAGAAAACCAGCTATCAAATTTAGTTCTTTACACAGACTTGTCCTTACCTGTGCACTTGAAGTAATATCCTCTCGTTGCTGATCTGTCATTACAGCAAGTGTATCAAAAGGATCTTTCTCACAAGGGTCTAGAAGGCCAGGACCACCTACAACAGTTAGGCTAATTAGTAGCATATCTCTGTCTTATTTTAACCAAGATTACAGATTTTATATGTTAGGCATAAGTATACAGACACTGATCAAATGCAACTTGCCTTGAAGGATGATTCCTGAAGATATACACTCAAAAACTCTTCTCAGTGCATCTCCAGGACTCTGTGGTCCAGTAGCACTGCTAATTGCTTTTTCCACAAGCAACTCCATAGCCTAGACCAATAATAAGAAAATCCAGCCAATTTAGAAGATTGATTAAAACAAAAAAAAAAAAGCTACTACTGTTGTTCAATACAGAACTTTTCATACTGGAATTTTGAAGAACATTACACATTAGAGAACACTTTCAGTTAAAACAGAAAAAAAAATCAGACATCTTATGATGAATAAAAAGAAAGCTGCTGCAAGATTAACACTGAGTACTGATACTGATATTCTTATCATCACAAGTTGTCCAAAAGTTTTGCAGAAATTTATACAGTAGTAAACCTACATATGCAAGTAGACAACTTGTCCATCCACTTTTTGAGAGAGCATGGCACATGGTGGGTCACCAGAATCTGTCACCCCATGCTGGTTTTAGTTGGGACAGAGTTAATTTTCTTCACAGTAGCTGTATGATGCTATGTTTTGGATTTGTTTGAGGCTATGTTTTAGATTTGGCTGAAAAGAGTATGGATAACTGGTGTTTTTAGATGTTGCTAACAATTAAACCACAACACACCCACATAAATAAACAGCACACAGTATGAAATTATGAATTTGAGTCATCTACTGAAATTAACAGTATGCTACAGAGAATTTTTTTTTCTACAAGAATACAGAAACTTAAAGCATCAAAAATTTAATGACGTTTTAAAGTTTAAGTGATTACTAGTTCTTCAGCTTAGCAAAACTGAAGTTCACAGCAAGATTTTTCTTGGATATAGGCTAACAAGTGTAAAAAGAAACCCTTGATGATAAACAGGTTTTCTAAAATTTACACATTACTGATATCAGTTAAAACTGTTTAAATTATTACCTGTATTTTAAATACTGCATTTTCAGTGAATATTTCCATTGTTTACTTTTATTAGACACAATTTTTTTTTTCCGGAAAAGCTATTAAATATATTTGCAAAAGTAAAGAATACCTTTCTGTAGCTTTTTCAGTATTAAATGGTTGTTTCAATACCACTTATTTCACAAGTTTCATTTTCAAACAATGTGTATCTCATTTTTTGGTGAGGGTTTTTTTTTATTTTGTTGTTTGGTTGCTCTGCTGAGTTTACAGTTGTTCAAATGTTGCTTATTATTTTTATTTTCCAAGAGTGAATGCCTATTCTAATGCATGCAAGTAACTATAAGCCCTCACTAAGGGTGCCCATTCCTTTCTATTTTAGCTCAATTAAACTGTCAAATTTTAATTCTTGAGCATGATATTTCCATATTCCCACTGTATCACACAGGATCTGTATCAACTGGTTGGACCGAGTCCAG